ACACACCAACACCTAATAACCAGCAACTAACACACACCACCCTATACACCAACACACCACCAACTACACCCACCACACCACAACTAACACGCCACCACCAACTAACACACCAACACACCACCAAGACACCAACACACCACTAACACCCAACCACACCACCAACTAAACACACCACACCACCAACTAACACACCACACCACCAACTAACACACAAACACACCACCACTTAATACACCAACTAATACACCACCAACTAATACACCACCAACTAATACACCACCAACTAACACACCACCACCTAATACACCAACACACCAACACACCACCAACACACCAACTAACACACCACCACCTAATACACCAACACACCACCTAATACACCAACACACCACCAACTAACAACACCAACTAACACCACCAACTAACACACCACCAACTAACACACCACCAACTAACACACCACCAACTAACACACCACCACATAACACACCACCAACTAACACACCACTTATACACCACCAACTAACACCACCACCTAATACACCAAGACCCACCAACTAACACACCACCTAACACACCCCAACTAAACACCAGCACACCACCACCTAATACACCAACTAACACACCAACACACCATCAACTAACACACCAAACACACCACCAACTAACAATCAACACACCACCACTTAATACACCACCACCTAATACACCAACACACCCACCAACTAACACACCACCAATAACACACCACCAACTAATACACCACCAACTAATACACCACCAACTAATACACCACCAACTAATACACCAACTAATACACCAACACACCACCACCTAATACACCACCAACACACCACCACCAACACATCAACACACCACCAACTAACACACCAACACACCACCAACTAACACACCAACACACCACCAACTAAACACACCAACACACCACCAACTAACACACCAACACACCACCAACTAAACACACCACCACCTAACACACCACCACCTAACACACCACCACCTAACACACCACCACCTAACACACCACCACCTAACACACCACCAACTAACACACCACCAACTAACACACCACCACCTAATACACCACCACCTAATACACCACCAACTAACACACCACCTAATACACCACCAACACACCACCATTTAATACACCACCAACTAACACCACCACCACCTAATACACCACCAACACACCAACACCTAATACACCACCAACACACCAACACCTAATACACCACCAACTAACACACCACCACCTAATACACCACCAACACACCAACACCTAATACACCACCAACTAACACACCACCACCTAATACACCACCAACTAACACACCACCACCTAATACACCAACACACCACCAACACACACACCAACACACCAACACACACACCACACACACCACCACCTAATACACCACCCAACTAACACACCACTAACTAATACACCACCAACTAACACACCACTAACTAATACAACACCAACTACACCACCAACACACCAACGAATACGCCACCAACTAACACACCACCAACTAATACGTCACCAACACACCACCAACTAATACGCCACCAACTAATACGCCACCAACTAATACGCCACCACTATACGCCACAACTAACACACCAACAACTAATACGCCCACCAACTAATACACCACCGACTAACACGCCAACTAACACATCAACACACCACCACCTAATACACCACCAACAACACACCACTAATACACCACCAACTAATACACCAACACACCACCACCTAATACGCCACCAACTCACACACCAACACACCATCAACTAACACACTAACACACCAACTAACGCACCACCAACACACCATCGACTAACACACCGACTGACACACCGACTAACACACCACCGACTAACACACCACCGACTAACACACCACCGACTAACACACCACCGACTAACACCACCGACTAACACACCACCAACTAACAGACCACCAACACACCACATCGCCAACTAACACACCACGAACTAGCACACCACTAACACATCACCAACTAACATCACCATGCAGTGGATAAACCTCGTGAGAACTATGGTTACTCAGGCAGCATAACACTTACCATGACCCTAATTGTGATGGCGAGACGGCAAACAGTTTATAGAGCGCCGTAATTACCGGTGATCCGGGGGTAAAAACCCAGGAAGGTTTGGTTGCACGATATGCTTGCATCTCGAAAAAGTTGCGACAGGAATTTGGATGTATTTTCGTTATAGGAGATTGAAATTTTCAATGATGTTTCCAAGAAGAGCTGGAACAAGTGCCTAATGTATCACTGATTATTTCAGCATTCACTACGGGTATCATTATAATAATGACGGAAAGCAATGCAACAAGGTGATGGATATGACATGAGTCACTCTTTGGTACGTCTTCGTATTCTCTGCTGCTTCAGTTGAATACGGAGGTGACTAAAATAAGAGGCATCAGAAGTAGCGGAGGCAATGATATAATCAGTATCATTCACCACAGGGATGAACCAACATTCAACGGGGAAAGCAATTTGCAGCTCAGGACATATATAGGACACGACGTTCCATCTGCGTAAAAAAACACAAGGTGAGGCATAGTTGTCAATTCCTTTACCTACAATGATCAAGGGATTACCTCACGCTTCCAGCAGTAGCGTCTGAGTGACTTTACATTCCCTAGACATAGGAAATCCAAGGGCCAAACTGTAGTTTGGGATCCATCAAAGTTCCCGGTTAAAAAATGCATAATTTCCTGAGACACATTTGAAAAACAAAGATTATTTATTCATAGGGAAAAATCAACATTTCTGCCTTAAAGTGGTTTACCCAGAATCTGTTATATCTCCTGATGGTCCCAGGGATCGTCACTCTTGTTCTCACAGTAGGCTTCCTAAATTCGGAAGAATTACAGGACTAAAACTCAAGAAAAAAAAGAAGTGCATATTAAATGCAGATACAACTCTGCAAGATTAATCTGCAATCTTACATGTTCACGACAAAAAAAAAAAAAAAAGTCCTGACAATGTAAAATATTCACCATGCTTCAATTTCACCCTAAGACAGGACGATAGTACCTCCCTGCATGTTTGTCATCCACCATCCTGTTTAATGGAGTAATCACGTAGTGTCAAATTGCACTTTGTCTGCAAAAAAGTATCGAAGTCACTGTTTATGTTAGCTTTACGAAGAACCGTTCAATTTACCGGAATTTCTAATCAAAATATCATATAAGCCTTATATTCCTCTCTACATTCCTGGCCTGCAGATACCTGGGCAGTGTTACTAGCATATCGAGGCTGGATCCAGTTCACATCTAAGGAGAATATCAAACCACCGATGAAAGTGACAATTACTAAACAGATAATATCAATGTACAAAAGTTAATCTGCAACTGTTCTTAAGAAATCTTAAGATCCTTACAACATTTTGGGGAAGCTATCCTCTCTATGTAGACACAAAATGAGTTTACGAAAATTATAACTTACCTAAATTAATTACATGTCTAAAAACTGAGCTCAACTACCCTGCTCAAGAGCTGCTAGATGGATAAAAGTTTGTCCCTGAAAATTTACGCTGAAGTATTCAACTTTATTAAACAATGGCTGATTGGAAAGCAAAGAATATCAAGTGAAACATAATTCAACTGGAGTTATGTTTTCAGTAGTGTGGTACAAAAACCTCGTTCCGCGGCCAACAATATTTAGAACCTATATTACTGCCATTAGTTAAATTTTCAACTACTTTCTAAAATTTGCAGACAATATAGATCTATAGCAAGATAACAGATGAAGTGGACATAATTATATAAAATGGTTTACACGTATTTTCGAAATACTGAAAACAAACGTGTTAATTATAGAACTTAACTTGTAAAATATAGAAACGCAAATCGGTTATTCTTCTTCCTGGCTGCCTGGATTTTTTTTGTTGCTTTATAAATAACTGCTTTGCGAAGGTAGTGAAGCAAAACTGAGGTGTATATAAAAGGTTATCACTTAACTTTACAGATCATGTGTTCGTCTCCCATTACGACCACTGGAAATTCAGGCATGGCTACCATGCTTATATTTTCCATAACTGGAAAATTACCAACTCTGGGCGGAGAAACTCATCCCCTCACGAAGTTATAACAAACCGACTTAAGCGAAAAAGCTGGAGATATGGGCAAGTAGTGTAGGTAAATTATTTTTCACAGTGACCCACGAAATCGTAATGACACTACTGCAAACAAACCAAACCACTGGGCCAGTTGGCCCAATGGCTTACGCGCTGGCCTGGAGTTTTACGACTCACTCGCCACGAATTCAATCCCCACCCGTGGTATGGTTTATTTTTCAGTCACAGGAGCACCTGTAGGCAGGTGGCTGGGGGTGAAGAGTGAGCAACCGATCCTCAGTATAGATAGAACTGTCTCCAAGTGACGATTCTGATGAAACAGAGGCAAACAACCTTTTCCTGTCGATCACTGTATAACTTGTTGCTTGTCTGTAGGGTCAACCTGGCCCGCCACTTCCCGAGAATATACCAACGTTTGCCCTTGGGGCGTCATTATTCACATATAAATATATATATATAGTGTGTGTATGTATGTATGTATGTATGTATGATAAAATGAGATGCTCGTCACACTACCCATCACACTACTCGTCACACTGCACTCAGTAACGAGCACGTATAATTCCTTGACAAGAAATAAAGTGCGGCCATTTAATTTTTTTTGTAGTGACTGATAAACCAGAACTCCCAAGACCCAGGAGGTGGTGGTGAGGAAGTGTTATTGTTCTTCAAGACGACTTTAGATGAAGTGACGCAAACCGTGATCTCTAGCAACCTCAGTTAGCAATACCTAATTATGCTTACTAAACATTTTGTAAAGAAATACGTGGATTTGAAAACTCTTTCGAAGAATTTGCTTTAATAAATATACATCTTTAGGCAGTGGAATTTTCCGACAAATTTAAGTGTTGACTTACCTCGCATGCCCTCCGACTCTCCACAGGATCTGCCAGAAAAATAAATCATTAGAGTACATCAGAAGTGGCACAGGACACTTAACATTATGGCGTTGCTCTTCTAATACTGAAACACAGGATCACAAAGGGTGTGGACACTTAAGGGAAGGAGAGAGAGAGAGGAGAGTGTGAGAGAGAGAGAGAGAGAGAGAGAGGAGAGAGAGAGAGAGAGAAAGAGAAAGGAGGAGATGAGAGGAGAGAAAGAGAGAGAGAGAGAGAAGAGAGAGAGAAAGAGAGGAGAGTAGAGAGAGAGAGGAGAGAGAAGAGAGAAGAGAGAGAGAGAAGAGAGAGGAGATGAGGGGAGAGGGAAAGAGAGAGAGAGAGGAGAAGAAGAGAGAAAGAGAGAGGAAAAGAGAGAAAGAGAGAGAGAAAGAGAGAAATGAGGAGAAAGAGAAAGAGGAAAAGAGAGAAGAGGAGAAAGAGAGAGAGAAGAGAGAGAATGAGAGAAAGATATGAGAGAAAGAGAGAGAGAGAGAGAGTGAGGGAGAGAGAGAGAGAGAGAGAGAGGATGAGAGAGAGAGAGAAAATGGAGAGGAGAGAGAGAAGTGAGAGAGAGAGAGAAGAGGAAGGAGAAGATGAGAGAGAAAGAGAGAGAGAGAGAAATGAGATATGAGAGAGAGAGAGGAGAGATAGAGAGAGAAGGAGAGAGGATAGAGAAGAGAGAAAGAGAGAAGAGAGAGAGAAAGAGAGAGAGAAAGGAGGAGAAAAAAGAGAGAGGGAGAAAGAGAGAGAAAGAGAAGAGGGGAAAAGAGAGGAGAGAGGAGAAGAGAGGGAGAGAGAAAGAGGAGAGAGAGTCGCTAGGAAGAGAGGAAAGAGAGGAGAGAGAAAGAGAAAGAGAGATGAGAAAGAGAGTGAAGAGAAGAGAGAGAGAAGGAGAAATGAGAAAGAGAGAAGAAAGAGAGAGAGGAGAGAGAGAAGAGAGAGAAAGAGGAGAGAGAGGAGAGAGAAGAGAGAAGAGAGAAAGAGAGAGAGAAAAGAGAGAGAGAGAAAGAAAGAGAAAGAGAGAAATGAAAGGAAGAGAGAGAAAGAAGAGAGAGAGAGAGGAAGAGAGAGAGAGAGAGAGAAAGAGAGAAAGAGGAGAAGAGAGAAAGAGATCAACATATCCAGGATGACTCGAGTATGGAACACATTCGTACAGCATAATGATGTCAACGAGATAACGTCAGTTGATCAAATGAAAATGCTGGCCCACAGATGGCTCCAACTTCATCCTGTTCCCTACTTGTATGTCTCATAACAATAAAAATGCTTTCAAATGAGCTGATGTAGGTAACAGCTCTTAGCTTGCCAATAAAGTTAGGAATCCTTAACCTGTAAATAGCTGTCAATAAAGCTAGGGATCCTTAACCTTGTCAAACCCTGTGTAAAAAAAAAAAAGAGAAAGAGAGAATGAGAGAATGAGAAAGAGAGAGAGAGAAAGAAAACATTCTGAAAACTTCATGCGGGAATGTTGTGTGAAGAGTTGTAATGGGATAAGAGCTAATATACCACGGTGAAAGAGAATGACAATAAAGGTGTGTTTACTGAACATTACAGGTAACTTCTAGAAATAATGATCTGTTCCCATCCACCATACTGAATATATAACCAACTCAGGGTGGTCACAATGCATTAAAATATTGAAATATGTATGCGTATGCATATGACTGTTTGAATTCTTGTACATATGTACAATTTTTCATATATGTGCAATAAGATCACGCGTGATGTGACTGAGGTGTAGTCTTGACCCTTCATGTGCTTTCCTGTTGATGTTTTGTCTTTTATAGTTCCTTGATAATGTGAGAAGTCACGATTGTAATTTCGTTTTTTCACAGTGGTTGTTTTGCATAATGTGCATATGTGTAACTCTGCATCTGTGTGTACGTGTATGCTTATTCATATATATATATATATATATATCGTGCCGAATAGGTAAAACTTGCGATTTTGGCTTAAACAGCAACGCTCTTGCCGAATAAAGCAAGCGAAAATTTATGTATGCAATAATTTCGCAAAAACTTAGTGTTGCAGAGGTGTGAGCCTCGCTTAGACCTCTGCAACACAAGTGTCCTCAAACATTTGTTAAGTTATACCATGAATTAAGGAAAAATCCTAGACCTAGCCTTACGAAAACAGTCAAAGCAAATGCTATAGTAATTATGGACAAGGTAGATTACAGGGAAAAAATAAACAGATCTTGAGCCTTCTTACACACTGACAACAGTGCTCAGGATAAGACTTCCGGCACGACTGCAGTTTCAAAGATCTGTTACCGGTACATTAAAGCTAATTCACCAATTAGTAAAAATTTTTAATGTAACCAAAATCAAGTAGTTTACACGTTTTTATCCACCCCATGTTACTCTCACACGTGCGGTCAATCACACGCCCTCACTGGCTCACTCTTACGTACATATTCATGTTACAAGTAGTTTAATCCACTTTTACAAGTGCCTGACTTTTTTTTTTGGGGGGGGGTTATTCTAGTAATTTACACTGATAATTATACTTGTGTACCTGTGCCTAAACAGATTTATTAATAATTTTCAGCTGAACATCCAAGTAATTTCAAATGAACAATTTGTAGGTACATTTTTCAAGGAATGCATTTCAGTGTGTCGAAGTATAGTGTCATGAGTATTAACTGTATTTGACAAGCATATGTAAAGTGCACTCTCAGCCTGAGTTACTCGGCACCACTGTTGCTTTTCAAATAATTAGTTTTTACTCAGTTCCTACTACAATAGAAGCATAGAAAACGCATTAGCAGCAAGTCGCACAGAAAACGGCATTTCATTCATGAAGTGACGCGTAACTTGTTCATTTGCCAAGTTTGTCTGGCCGAGGGGTGTGGGAGGCGCTCACTTATTCTGCCTTTACATATACATAATTTGAGTTATTGAATTTTACAGATCATATTAGGATCAATATAAATGGAAGCGAATAACTAGACAATGTTTATATCATTTGTTAAAAAATGGTCTAACATTTCATGTACCCCAATTTAGATTTGCCCTAATGTTCTGCATAAAATAGGCTTTATGCATGCACACCTATCACCCAACTCTGTACAAACACTATCATGGTGAAATAAATTATCATCTTACCAAAACATCGCATATATACATCAAGAGGCGTATGTCTCAGTGTGTATATATACTTTAATCCCTGTTATAAGGATTAAGTCATACTTAACGGGTGATAAACAGGTGATTTGTGGCCATAATGGTATCGTGTAGTCGACAAGCTTTATACCACATTAAACTAACCTTTGCAAAGCTGTCTTAAATTAAAATCCTACTATCCAAGACTAGTTGCTGTAATATTCATCAATGAATCTTTGTTAACGACTACATGACAAAACCAAAATAACAAAATGAAGAAAAAAGGCAGAGTGGAGGGTCTGTTAAAACAGAGTTCTACTAAGAGATCGAACTTTTCCAAGTCTGTAGAGAGTAGCTGGGAAACATGGAAATAGGCGGCGAAGTGAGGAGCATAGGAAACCATACACAGATGCAGTGAACAATGCATTTTCATCTTGTCAAGTCTCGGTGCTACTTTGGCTTGTTATCTATAAGGAAAACGATATCTACACTTACATTGCGATCCACACCTTATATTGCAATCAACACGGTACCTAACCTAGGTTAGGTACAGTGCTGATTGCAATATAAGGTGTAGATCGCATAACAAACTAGATTCATGATACGTAGATCGCTGGGTAAGTAGATATCATCCCCAAGTAGATTCATGACACGTAGATAAGCCAAAGTAGCACCCAAGTCTCTCTTGCTCGACAAACCTCTCTACTTGTTCACATGCTCAGGTCTCCCGCCGCTCTCCTACGGTTTCCATTCTGTCTACAAGTTCTCACTTTCCCCACTGTATTAACTATGCAGTGTCTGACCCCAGGCAGGTTTACATTATGGCTGCCTTACAGACAGATTTCGATATTCTTCAAAATATTTGTTCAAAACGTCTGTAGTGGAGGCAGAATACAATGATTTTCCATAAGGCCTAATAAAGATAAATTATACATCCATTTATTTTCATGCACTGAAAGTAGCATAATGCTTTTTCCGTCATAAACAACTTGACATTAATAACTAACACTTCAGTGATTTTTTGGTGCCTCAAATTGGTCAGTGTCCCGGGTAGCTACTCCTCCTTAATCCTGCTCTGCTCGATACACTTGTAAAAGCCTAGTCTGTAAGTGAAATTGGTAAAACATGTGCAACACCTGGCTATTTTTCTTCCGATTACGTTTCGCTAACTAGTGACTTTATCAACTGGTAATTTATTGATAAAGTTACTGGTAGGCAAAACGTTTTCAGCAGAAACACACACCCAAGTGCTGCACATGTGTGTCATTCAGTAGATTGTCGATACTGTATACCATAAAAGCGAAACTGTCTTGGCAAAATTCTCATTCTGCCTTTACATGTGTTTAGCAACTCACCAGTATTTCACATCCAGCCAGCAAAATTTAAGTACAACATAACGTTAAGACAACAGACGAGGAAGACACGTCCTTACACGAGAACAGCACAAGAAATTACTTTGCATACGGTGCAACACCCCCCGCCTTTCATGACACTCTGGAGAATGTGCGATTTCGATCGATGCTGCCTAAAATTAAACCCATTTCGGTTTGTCGTGGACCATTGCCAACTCACTAATGAGTGAGAAAAAAATAGAAAATCGGAGGACAAGTCGGGAAGAAGGAGGAGGAAGAAGGACGGTGGCGGCGGTGATGGTAATGACAGCAGTAGTATTAATAATAGTAGAAAGGTACTAACAGCAGCAATAATAATGACGGCGACGGCGAAGGTGGAGCCAGCGGCGGCAGCAGCAGCATACGTTGTGGTGTTGACGGTAATATGATTGAGGAAAATGTTATACTGACAGGGACGTGCTGAAAGGTTATAGACTGGGGACAGGGAAGGAGGAAAATAACGGAAGGGGAGGATAGTTACAATCCGTTGCTTCAAGAGGGCTTCCACAGCGC